TTGGCCTAACAAAACTTTATATTTTATCTATGATTGTGCTACATGTACATAATAGTTTACATACAAGTTATGTAGTGAGATATGATTGTGCCATAATTTCTTCAACCAAAATAAAATAAAAAACTTTCCCATTGTTTTTTATTACCTCATCAGTATGTAAATCATTATGTAACTCCATTACGTTTTCTATCCGAAATTAGACATAATTGTTTTATTGAAAATAAATTTTAAACTTGAACCTCTATTCATTAAAAAAATCAAATCTGTATTCTCAAATACTCTCAATAGTCAATTCAAATTCTCTTTTTGAATCAATAGTATCTCCATTTGGGAAAATTTATAAACAATTTAGCATCTATTTGACAACTATTATTTCCAAATTATTTTTTCTACATATCCATTTTCAACCAGACATTTACACAATTAAATATTTTACAAGTAAACCTAAAATTTTTTCCTACTTTTTAACTACACATTCTCCAAAAATCACTATTAAAAACTCCATTTTATCCAAATAATGGTTGTTAAACAAGGGTTTAGTTGTAAATAAATAAAATGAATAATGAAGAGAGAATTGGTTAAATAGCCTAGTCAAATAATATATTTGGTTAAATAACATCCTTTCAATGTTTCCTAGTCAAATACATGAACACCCTTATCAATTCAATCAAATTCCTTAATTCAATTAAACTCCCGATTCAATTTTGGGGTTTCCAAATCACAATCAACCATTTTTTTTTCTCTTTAGCTTTCGTGATTTCTACCATAAAATCACTTTCATTATATTCTTTACCAATTTTGAGTATCTTTTGGACATTTGAATAATATTTTGATTATCATATTATCTACATTGAAATTTCAATTGCACTTGAAGAAAGAAGAAATGTTTTTACAAATCTCGTTATTGAATATAATATAAAATGATATAATATAAAATGATATTTTATAACTTATTGGTTTTTGTATTTACTGTATTTTTGTGTTTCTGCAACTATTGGAAAATAATGACACTTCAATTGTAATCTACAGTATAAAACTACATTACAGCCGTTATATTAAAAAGGGCAATACAATAATGATCTATTATGTATAACTTAAACGAGTTTAACTTATTTTTTCTCGGAGTACAGATGAGGCATGACTATTTATAATTGCATTTAAAAATAGAATGACACTAGAGCCATTTTTTAATATTTTGATTTGTTTCCAACGCAACGATATGAAGCATTAGACCCCTAACGTATATAAGACTTAAAAGTTGATCACGTGACAAAGAACGGTTGAGATGACACAAATTATATGATATAAAGTTGATAAATGCACAAGTGTTTCTACTAAATATAAGTAATGAGCATATCTCTCAAATTGTTTAGTGTCATTTTCATCTTACAACTTAAATAAGTTCAACTTATTATTTTTCAAGGTACGGGTGCAGCGTGAATCGTGTTTAAATACAGAACGACACAATGGTCATTTTTTTCTTAGTAACACCACTTCTGTCGTTCGGTTGATTTTTTCTATATTTTGATTTGTTTTCAACGCAACAACTTCAAATATTGGACCCTCAACATACGTAAGACAAAAATATTGATGATGTGACAAAAAATGGTTGAAATGACCTATTTTATATGATATAGAGTTGATAAAAGTACATGTGATTCTATTATTTTTTTAAAATATGAGTAATGAGCATATCTCCCAATTTTTTCTAAATATCATATCTATCTTACAAATGAAATGAGTTAAAGTTATTGTTTCTTGGGGCACGGATGAAACATTGTTGCTTATAATCATGTTTACAAACAAAATGACATAATGGTCGTTTTCTTTTTAGTAACGCCACATGTGTCGTTCTATTGATTTTCTATATTTTAATTTGTTTCCAACGTAATGATCTCAAACATTAGACCCCTAAAGTATGTAAGACAAAAATGTTTATTACATGACAAAGAACGATTAAAATGACATAGATTATATACTATAGAGTTGACGAATGCACGAGTGGTTCTATTATTTTCATTAGAATATAAGTAATGAGTATATTTCTCTAAACTTTTATAAATATCATATATATTTTACAATTTAAATGAGTTTAACTTATTATTTCTCAGAGCATGGATGCGGCACGACTGTTTATAATCATGTTTAAAAATAGAACGATGCAAGTGCCATTTTCTTTTCAGTTACTTGTGTTGTTCTGTTGATTTTTCTATATTTTAATTTATTTCCAATGTAACAACCTCAAGCATTGGATACCTAGAGTACGTAAGACGGAAAGGTTGATCACATTACGAAGAACTTTTGAAATGATAAATTATATGATAGAGTTGATAAAAGCAGAAGTGGTTCTATTGTTTTCATTAGTATATAAGTAATAAGCATATCTCTTAACTTTTGTAAATGTAATATCTATCTTACAATTTAAATCAGTTTAACTGCTTATTTTTCGAGAAATGGATGGGGCGTAATTGCTTGTAATCATTTTTATAAAGAGAACAACACAAGGGCCATTTTCTGCTAAGTAACAGCACTTGTGTCGTTCCGTTGATTTCTCGTATTTTTTTGATAAATTATATACGAAAAATGTTAATCATGTGATAAAGAATGGTTGAAATTATATAAATTATATGATATAAGTTAGTGAAAACACATGTCATTCTCATATATTTCTCCTATACTATTCTAGGGATATGGATGGAGCGTGATTGCTTGTATGTAAGCAATGGCACTTGTTCCATTCTCATAGAAGTTTTCATCTGAGTAATAAAACATGCTCGCTCTCATGGATACTTATATTTACAAAGATAATAGCACTAGTGTCATTTTCATCTAAGTAACGATATTTGTTCCATTCTAATGATGGTTTGTAACAAACATAACGACACTTGCATTGTTCTTATGTCATTTTTATAAGTTCAGTAACGGCACCTGTGCCATTTTTCATGGATGCTTATATTTTTAATAACGTCGCATGTGTTGTTATCTTTGGACAATAACAAACTAAAGAGAAATGTACAACTGAAATGCAAGCATTTAACTTAAATTGAACATGTACAACTAAAAAATGATCTCCTAAAAAGTAAGGATGAAAAGTAACTTTAAAAATTTAACTAAACCTATGAATCAAAGTGTCATGTAAATATTTCCACATCTTCCAAGAGAACATATATCTGGTCAAATCAAATCTATGTTGAATTGAGCTTGTAAAAATTCAATGTGCTTCACTGTGAAGAACCCCCAATCAAATCTGCAAGATAATTATGGCAAAAAAATTAATATTGAAATTCACATGTAAGAAATAAATGGAACATATTAGTGCTAAAACTTTAAATTGAATTAAGCTCACACATTTATTTGTTCAGTAACTACGACCTTTAATAGTAAAATATGTTGGTGCTAAACTTTATATTTTAATAACAACACTTGTGCCGTTCTCATTGACATTGTTATCTCAGTAACGATATATTCATGCCTCAAGAAATAATAAGTGCAACTTATTTATATTGTAATATGCACATGACATATAAAAAAATTGAGAGATTTGCTCATTAATTTAATTGAAATGAATTAGTAGGATGACTCGTGTTTTATTCAGTTCGATAACATATAATCTATGCTATTTCTATCTTTTTTGTCACAAGTCAACCTCTATGTTTTATATATGTTATGAGGTATATTGTTGGATGTTGTTGCATAAAAAGAATTCAAAATGCAGGAAAATGAACAAAAAGGCACAAGTGTCATTACTGAGATGGAAATGACTGTTGTGTCGTTATCTTTATAAATAAGAGTATAAGAAGTCGAGTATTATCCATGTTCCGAGAATCAATAAGTAGAACTCGTTTATATTATTTGTGACATGGTAAAACTTTTTATGTTACATACTTTAGGGAGTCCATTATTGGAGATTGTTTTGTTGAAAGAATCAAAATATAGGTGAAAATTTATATTGCAATATGCACATGACACGTATAAAAATTGTAATGTTGCATGTATAAACACTAGTATAAGTAACCATAACCCGTTTGTGCCCTGAGAATTAATAAGTGGAACTCATTTATGTTTATGCACATGACACATATAAAAGTTGAAAGATATGTTCATTAACTTAATCAATACACATGAGTAGGACAACTTTTACTTTCACCATCTCAATAATATAAAACTTACGTCATTTCGACACTTCTTTGTAACAGTCAATCTTTCTGTGTTATATATGTTAGTGGATCTATTATTAGAGTCATTTATTTGAAAAATAAACTACATTAAATAACCATTGTAGTGCCGTTTTACATAGTAGATAACGGCTGAAATAGTATTCTACATTTCAGATAGCAATTGGAGTACCATTATCATCCAATAGTTGCAGAAAATACAAAAAATTGTACTAAATACAAAAATAGCACAAAGTGAATATTATTTAACATCATATTCAATAATAACAGTACCATCTACATGAGATTTCTAAAAAGTGTCTTTCTTCTTTCTTCAAATGTAAATGTGTTTTTCAATATGGATGATATGCTAACCAAACTTTTGTTCATTCAAAAGATGCCCAAAATAAGCAAAGAATATAATAATAAAGAACACGATTTTAAGGTAACGAGAAAGATGACTGAAGAGAAGAAAATGGAGCGAATGTGATTTTGAGGGCCTAAAATTGAAAAAGGTGGAAAAGGGATGAAGATGTTATTTTCGAAAAAAAATTGGGGTTTTACAAAGAATATGGAGGAGAAATGATGGTTTGAAATGAGAAAAATTAGGGGTTATTGAGTTAATAATCGAAGAAAAATTTTGTCATTATTTTTCCATAT